CCCCAGGATTCCATCTATGATTCAGGAATGAAGTTACAATTTGCAACTAAATTGGTAGAWGAATCGACCAAGCTCAGGACTACCAAGTAACAAATATTCCTGCAAAATAGCAGCTCCTTACCCATATATTTGTAACAAATACAGCTAAACAAATTACAGGGTAACAAATTACAGCTAAAATATGAAATAACTAGTCTGACAGGAATCAGCTGATCAGTGCAGATGCTCCTCTAGACAGTAAAGCACATCAAGTCACACTCCTCTAATTTGGCATTTCAGGATACAGGCATAATAACAAGCACCATGAGTAACTCCATACAAATAGCTAGTTGAGTAAAACTCCAATTAGATTAGTTTCACCAAAACACATTAGATCTAAGAGAAAGTAATGAGGGAAAGGCACATCTACAGAGTTCAGAATCTGTGCTTCTTTGAAAGTCAATGCAAATACAGTGTAAGCCCAATACTGAACAAAAGTATWAAACTAAGCTTAAAATTTTTAAAGCAGTACATAAAAACTAACAGTCCCAATACCACATTCAGGGATTTGTGATCTTTTTAAGCAGTTTCCACAGCCATTAATTGCTTCTCTCCCCAATGAGCTTCCAGCACCCTGCCTTTGCTACCTTAACGCTGTGCTGTTTGTCCACCTCCTTTGCTACCCAAAGCTTTGTCCCAGCCCCCTTCACATCCACTCTTTTTTCTCCCAGATCTGCTTAATCTCCTCCCAGAGCTGCTGCTGCCACCCCAGCCCTTTCAGCCCCTCAGCCCCTTCTGCCTGCAGTCACTCAGAAGCACCAACCTTCAGGCAGGGTCAAAGCTAAAAAGCCTGACAAAGCTTGTCTGTTCCTCTGATGTTCTTAATCTAGGTATGCTTCTATAGCCCTTAGCCTATAGACCTGTTTCTTAGAAGCCTGCAGTGATGCTTAGAAAATGAGGGATCACTGAAATCACACGTTATTCTAATACGTAGCTCATACACAAATAAAACAAAGACCTTAAACAACTGTGAATACAAAACATGTATTTGCTTATATTACTATTTCACTTAGATAACTAAAACTTGATAACACATATTCTCTTGAAAAAATTATATTCCTAGTCATCTGCYTGAGTTCATAATTCTATCCACTGCTATACAACCATTTGACACTGTTTATAGTTAGAAAAAAGTGTTTACTTTAGAAATACACACTGTGCTTTTAGCCCTGCTCAATGGCTTTCCTGAACCTTTAAAGGSTTGCAAGGTGTTTGTTTTTGTTTTTACATCAAACACCCAGAAAGCTGCTGCAGGTTAAAGCCAAACAAATGCTCTGAAAACAGTGTGGAGAAAAGTTAAATTGACAAATTGCTAACCAAAGCCTTAGAAACAGCTCTCCAGCCCAGCCTCTGTGCAGTAACTAGTYTCAGAAATAAGGCTCTATTCATTTAGGCATACGAGGAGGGAAAAAAGCAAACCCAAAGACTGTTAGCTAAATTCACACCACAGGATCAAAATTAATTCCTGTACTCATTTAATGATTACCTAAGGAGGATTCCTGATATACCTTAATTTCCTGTGGAATTTTAATTACTTTAGAAAAAGAAAGCAGCAATGGAGTTCAAGGTCTATTTTTCACAGCAATTACTATGCAGGAAGTAGTCTTCTCTACTATATCTTCTCAAGAAAGCTGCTTTTTTTTTTTTAATATCTCATCAATTTTTAATTTGATAAAGCTTCCACGTTCTTCTCTCCCTTTTGATTTGACTGCTGAATCTCCCCATCATGCTGTGTTCATAGGAGGCCTGGCACAAAGAGCAGCAAAGCAAACTGCTGTCTGTCTGTCCATCCATCTGTCTGTCCGCGGGCCACCGCAGCCCCTCCACATCATAGCTGTGTCTAGAGAATCCAACTAGAGAAAAACACGAGCCTAAGGTTATTCAAAGACTGCACTTCAGCTGCAATGCAATGCACTAGCGGGCATGGAGAGCTTTTCTTTTACCTTGTTTACACAAGGCCTATCATCTACTCCAGCCTGCCTTTAAGTATTTGATATCTTACACTGAGGAGATTAAATAAGTCTGACATCAAATTAAAATCCTCAGTCACATTGTTGAATTTGCGGACTTACGAAATCAAAATTTGAAGGTCTTGCCCTTAGAGACCAAACGCCCTTTACTCTAAGATTTTTTATTTACTGTGCAAGCAAAGCCAGCCCTATCTGACAGGAAACAATTTCTCGATAGGCTCTGTTTGGCCTTGCCTGTATCTAAAAGCAAAACACCTAACTCTCCAATGTCCATACAACTTCTAATGTAATTAAATCAAAAATATATTTTAAATCATCTTCCTCTCCAAGCATATTAATTAGTCATCTGTGGAAGAAAAAAATATAAAGAGCAAAAGGACTGTATACTACTTTCTGCTTTAAAAGAGTCTTTCATACTGGGAAGGTGAAAGATGGGCTAATACAATATTTAAAAAATGCACGTGCCTGCACATGCATATTCTCCTTTCTCATGCCTCCAGTGAAAGATGGCATGACCCTTCAGACTTTACCCTTGGTAAAGGGTAACATCTTGGTTCTCAGAGGAGAAATCTAACCCATCTGGTTTCCAGTTTTACAAGGTTACAGCCGTGAAAGAAAATACAAGTTAAAAAAAAAAAAAAGGAACATATATAATCTAGATAGATATAGATCATGCAGATGTCTGTTAGGGAAGGACAAACTTACAAGAAGAAGAATCATCTCCACAGTATACTACAATGTTGATTTTATTTATATGCCAAGAGAAAGCTATGAAACCYTTGCCTTTGCTGATATCAATGGGACATTGAGCATAATACAGCAATAAAGCAAGAATTGAATCTGAAACAATGGTTAAAACATTTCTCCTTATTACAGACTGAAAACAGGAAGTGGGAGCCAATGTCACACCCTTCTCCCTCCTCTCCCTGCAACATCAGGCAATGCAGAGTGTTAAACTGTACATGTGCCATGGAAATGTCACTGGTCAAAACATCTCCAACATGGCACTTAACAGGACTGGAAAGAGGATTTTCTCTGTTTTCCTAAAATGTTGCTGGAAAGTTTGTGCACTCCCTCTCTCAAACTAAGGTAAAGAAGACTAGTTAAACTTGAACAAGAAAGGAACTGGCTACTACAGCTACTATTTGACAAACAGAGGTTTTTCAAAAGCTCTAATTTTCCTTTTTTATATACATATATATAAAAATTCATATATAGAAATCTCTGTTTTACAGAGATTTAACTAAACATGATAGCAAGACATTAAAAGCTGAGGCTGGTTGCTCCGACATCTATCTCTGAGAGAGAAAATCTCTCAGTCCGCTTAGGTAGAACCGCAAATATAGCAAGGTTTAATCCAGGAACCTAACCTATATTTATTGGAAAATACAGTTGATTATTTTGAAGTTAAATACTTTAAAAAAATAATTCTTTAATAGATTTACTACATTTAAAAAAAAAAAAAAAAAAAAAAAAAAAAAAGAGCAGCTGTACACTGGCAGCACAGTTGCAGCAGAAGGAAGGATGACACTGTCTGAAACACTGTATGTACCAGGAGTGTTTGTAAGATCATCTACAGAGCTTCCAGCATCAACCACAGTTACAGCATGATCACTAGAATCTCTTGAAGGACTTGCAATGAGGATAGGCAGATAACTATATAGCGTTTTAAATACTTAAACAAAACTAGCCATTTCAAACAGCACAGAAACTTTACCAAAGACTAAGGAATTTCACACTGCAAACATAAATACCAGAATTTCCTGTTTCATGTGGTTAAGAAATAAAATTTCATAAAAAAAMTATCATTTTTAATGAGATAACAAGCATTTTGAGAACATTTTTTGAGCATTTCATTAAAAATTTGTGGTTCCTTCCAAACTTTGAAAGATAGTAATAAAAAATGTCATATAGAATCAGATAATTCTTGGTTTTAATGCTATTTCTTTAATCATCTTACAGTCTAAATGCCAATCTAGTCATTGTGGACTGTGTCCACCTGAAGTCCTGATCCTCTATCCAGCRTAGCAAATGCATACTGAGCTGATAATTGCAATAATGCTAATTAAAAGACAAAAACCACCCCTACATTGACAGTTAAATTGCCAATTAGCACATAAGGCTCCCTCATTACTGTTTGTGAAATRAATGTGAAGCCCAATGTGGATAGCAGTCATAAAAACAGCAGACATCTCAAAGAAGCTGATAGGTCACATTTTCAGCTTGCTTTGGGAGTGCTGCTGGAGTCAGTGTCTGAGAAGTTGRCCTATAGGAAAGAAATAAATTCCTACAACATTTTGTGAAATCACTGCAGAAAAACATTACCATTCTTCACATCTGCATTCCTAATGCCTTTCAGAAGAAATAGAACTGCTCCTGGAGAGACACTAGAAAGCATTAAAAAAAAGGACTAACCTTTCCCAATTTTCCCTGATTCATACTTCATGTGAAGCATCCCCATAAAGGACTACAAATGGAGACTGCAAGCAGTCCAGATGATCTTAGTTTCTTTTAATCTTCAGAAAGTACAGATCTTTTGATTTCTGTCAGTCATTGGACATTTTATCAAAATTAACCCTACTTCTGTGCCCTATCACACTAAGGCTATTTACAGACGTTATCAGACTCTTGATATTTGCTATATTCCCTCAGGTCTGATTTTTTTTTGTTTGTTTGTTTTTTTGTTTTTTGTTTTTTTGTTTTTCAAACGTTCTGAATTCTAATTCTGGAGGCCTTGTGGTGAAGAAAAGCAAAATACTTCCAGTACTATCCTCCTAGAGAGAGCCAGAGTACGTATTTATTTTCCACTTCCTCTACCTTAACAAGCATTTTGTTGACCATAATCAATTTCTTGGCACTGGAGAAAAATTTACAATCATCTACAATGAAGGTGTGTCTGAGGAATGGGGTGAGGGGAAGAGAAATCAATGGAACCATCTGTCTGACATTCCTACAACATTATAAGAGACTTGTAATTAACTGCTTGCCTACCAAAGTCTGCCAGCTTTAACTCCCCCGTGTCACTGATCAGAAGATTCTGTGGTTTCAGGTCCCTGTGCAAAATGTAACGCTGGTGGATGTAAGACAGTCCTCGCAGCAACTGAAATAAAAATAACTGAAAAAGAGGGGGACAAAAAATGACCTCTGTTAATAATTTGCATATAACCAGACCTGATTTCTTCACAATATGCAGGGTGCTTATATATTGTGGCAACATTGTGTCAGAATTCCTCCCAAACTGCCATCACACCCACCCAAATTTAACACAAAGAAATTTCAATCCAAAAATATGCACTTTGCAAGAACTAACCCGGTCTCCAAGCCTGCTACATTATACATTCAATTTGTCTGCTTTAAACAGAACAAGAGCAATACAATGAGTGCAGAAGGCTCAATTTCGACCAAATTATAATTATAGCCCATTTACCCATATGGCCTCAGAGATTAGGTGGTAGCCTCAAGACAGATGTGTATCTTCACTAATTATAAGAAACAACAGTACAGACTGGATAGGGATGGGGAGATAAGGCTGGGGGATGGGACACTAGAGCTAAAACAAAGGAGAAATTAATATAATACCAATAATGTCTGTATGCCCCTGGAAACGTATAAATACAATGGGGTTTCCCCTCAAGATTTTATACGGGATGTTTATGTAGTTTTCATTAAAAATAATAATTCACACTGAACCCAAAGATGACTTTCAAAATCTATTTATAATAGTCCTCCAGGTATTTATTTATATGGGAACCTAAATCATCCCCATGTTTCTTTTAACTCTTTACTGTACTCTGTAAATGCTTTTTCTACAGTTTTGTGTTCAGGTTGTGTATTTCTGCAATTTACTGGTATAAAGATTTAGGTGACGGAGATTTTTTGTCCTCCCCTTTTCATCTTTCCCTCCATCTTTCTCTTGTGCCCTTAGAGACACCTCCCATGAAAGACCGTAAATTTTAGCCTTACAGATTTTGTCAGTACAAACGGTGAACCATTGTTTCACAGGACTTTCCTACATAGCTTTGAAAGATGTCTCCTAGTATTCTGACCCTTCATGCTCCCCGAAATAGTTTAAGAAAAAATATGATTTCCGAATAGAAACTGAACAAGTCTTTGCATTGTCAAGCACGGACAATCAAGACCTGTTATAGACCACAGTTCAACAGATGGCAAAATGTGCTGCTCTCCTGGAAGCGGGGGAACCCACAGCAAGGATTTGGGGAAAGTCACTCTGGAAACACCAGACACTATAATTAACCTGCAGCACAAGCTTCCCATTTATTTAGTGACTGTTGAAGCGAGGAGACGTTATAAAGGAGTTATGAAAACTGATTATAAAAGAGAATAAAGGCTGACATGAAAGAAACAGAAATGTCATGTTACTGAAGTTGAAATGCATTTAATTGCATTTCATTTTTCCCGCAAGTGCAGACAGAATACATTGTATGTTTAGCTATTTAGCCAGGGCACAAAGAGCCAAATCAATCACCTCCTCGACAGGGTTGGGTCTAACAATGTGCTGAGGAAACCTAACAGCAAGATAGAGAAACAAAAGAAAGAATAGTAGGAARGTCCTAAGTAGCATGCACATTCCTTTTCCAGTTGTGGTTGAATGGAACTCATGGTTCAAGGTCTATTTTAAGGGCAGGAAGCAGCAATAGCTTTCATTACAGCCTTAAAATATAAATTAAATGCTATTGCATAACGTCCAAATATATTTTTGAATAGAAGAGTATGGAATAGAGAGAGTTTCCTAAAGTAAATAAATAGTATTTGACCCCAACTATTATTTTTTACATATGCAAAGACACTTCAAACATCATGTAATATTCCAACACTCTAGCCCTTGTAATTAAAGAAAACACAACATTAATGTGGGCTTTAATTTGGCTATAAGGCCAAGTTTGTGCTAAGAAAAAAATGCCACAACTTAACAGAATAAACATTAGGTCTGAGAGCATGGCTTTGGGAACCATAAGCTCTATTTCAAATTTCTTCGGTATGTTATTTGCACTGACTCTTTCCACCAAAGTCAATTAACGCTCTCACAAATACTGTACCAATAGCAAGAGAATCAGGAAAGAGAAGGGGGAAAACATCGCTGAGGTCTTTATGGGGTGAACTTTGCCTTTTGTTGCTGTTCATTTTTGTTTTCTCATTTCCCTACAACTTTGTTTTACTATGATAACATTAAATATGAAAAGACTTAAATGAAAATACAAACGTACTGCCTGGCATTAGAACACTAGAGCAATRGGCCCTTCCATATCGTTTGGAAGGAATACGGCAAAAAGAGCGTCTCCGCTTCAAACTTCTCCACAGTTCATAAAAAGTCAATTGGAAAGAATTGTGCCTGATGCCTCAGGAAACACTTTCGCCCCCTCAGAGTCAAGTGCCTTCAGCTGCCTCTGGGAAACCTCTCGGCTCCCCTGCAAGGCTATCTGTCTGCATTATCTTCATGAGGACTATCTATGGAAATCTATGATACCGAATGAATATTAGATGAAATCCCATTGCCTCTCATCCATAGATCTGATCTGAAATCAGCCTATCATGCTCATATTAAGATATTACCTCCTCCTTCTTCCAATTTACTTAATTCTGATAGCAATAAAACCTCAGCCTGGTGGCCCTGTGAGGTGAACAGGCAACTGAGCCACTGCTGCCTCCTCTGCCTGTTAGCAGYTGAGCTCTCTCATGCCATGGGACCACAGCCCTGTGTGCTACAGCATGACACTAACAGGAGTCAGTGGCAAACTCCATACTTGCTTTGATGGGTGGTTGGGAAGACCAAGAAAATTCACAGGTCTTTAGCTTGTATGTTAATAATTTTAAACTTTATGTCATCTTAAACAAGACTGTCGTCACATAACTTGTAGTAAGCAAATAGATCATGTTGGGTATACAGTTTATAGCTTAGTGAGAACTGAGGTTTTGGTCATTTTCACAAGAGAGGTGATTCAAAAAAAGAATCCTAAGATGACAAGAGTCATTGTGATAAAAGTTGAAAACAGGAAATAGAAACGAATTATTCTACAGTAATGAAGCTTTCAGTAGTCCTTGATCTTACATCAAGATGCTTGATACTCTTTAAATTTAGACTAAAAGAAAACTGAATATGTGCTTTAGGCCTTGCTTATTTAATAGAGCCACGAGAAAACACATTCCCCCATCCCCCAGAAGCTACACAGCCTTCACTTTAATCAGACCAAAATATTCTAATAGAGAACTCTCACTGCCACAGTGAGAAAAATGCATGAAGGATGCAGGTCACAGCTGATTTGGGGTTTATGGACTGTGATAGTAAAAGACCATTAGCAGCTCCCAATACTTACAAAAGACAACACTCAATGCCACAAAAATGCTACACYTACAACAAATGAATATAAACCTTCAAGCCACAGGAGCTGCATGCAATACTTGACCATTTAAACCTTCTATGAGCTTTGCCAGCTGTCTGAATTATCAGCTTTGGTTTGTGGTGCTTTTCATGAATCTGGGTTAGGGCACAATCTAGACCATTGCATGCACTGTCAGTATATCTGACTCAACAGCTCCAAGATGCTTGTGTGCACCAAGATGCTTTACTACCTTGTCAGCCTCCGAATGTCACATAGGATCCCAAGCTCTTCCCATTTAAACGAGCTCATCAAAGCTAAACTCTGACACAGACCATCCAAAACACATCGGATGAGTAGGACTGGCAAGAGTTAATGCTTTCCGACTTAAGTTCAGACAGCTCTGACAAGCATACTGATAAAGGAGGGCAATCGTGTAGAAGTGCTCAGATGACTTCACATCATTGATCTCCATTACCAGAGACGGTAAAGAAATTTTCTGGCAGACGGTGCTGGGGTAAGCAAAAAGCAGGAAGAAAATAACAATATACCCAGAGAGATTCTCCACAAAAGGTACCATTTCCACACAGCTTCTGCTGAGGCAACAAGGGCCCTAATATCAATACAGATGCTGCCCTAAAGGAGAGGCTAACGAGCCCTGTGAGGAGTTTCTAAGTCTTTCCTTGAGAGCATAGAGGGACTTCTGAATAACTTCCTAAATTTGAGCTTCTCTACCACACATTTTATCGAGGGAATAAATGACCTAGCCCTAGACACAAAAGTAGAAAAATACACAGAACCTYCTTTGTTCTATATAGCTTGTGCAAAAGTCCGACTCTTGGCTCTGCTCTCTATGTGGCAAGAGCACACAAATGGAGCTGAGCTAAGCTGGGCCATGAGTTCATACCAGTGCTTTAGAASAGAGCTGAAAGCAAGACCAGATTAACTTGTCAGTTCTTTAAGAAGCCCATATYGCTGTATTAGCACAGATACTTTCAAAAACTAACCGCACTATACTGCACAAGCTTTAGCTGCATCATCACTGATGATCCAAATGTTCTAGCACGTGTCAAAGCACAGTAGGGTATCATTTAATCATTAAAATTCCCTTGTGTGGATTCAGCATCAATTGGTATCACGTTCAGCCTTAGTAAACCAGCAAATCTAAAAATAGCAGTACCCTGTTCTAAGTACCTAAAAAACTCTTACACCCTCATGCTTGCAACAAATTTACATCTCCTATTATCCGGAGAACATCACGGTCTTGAGCTATTTACAAAGACAAAAGGAGGTAAGAAATCACGCAGTGCAGTCACGCGGCTTTGGAAATACGCAAAACAGAATGAAAGGCTCASTTGGGTTTGGGTTTACTACATAGCTTCAGAGTTTTAGATACGCTTGTTTCAAAAACATGAACATAAAGAAAATCCACCTGGTAGTATGTATTATCATAGAAGTGATAATGCACAGAGAAATGTCTCCCTGTGACTTCTGCTAGCATGTCAAGAGACAATTGAACATAATCTCTTAACACCATCAGTTTGATGTTCTTTTGCCCTCTTCACACCCAGGAAAACACCATGAGTTAAAATGCAGCTTTTCACTACTAGTAGTGTYCTAGAGAATTATGGAAGTTTGTAGGACAAAGTTTTGTAGACTTTCCTGCTCAAATAGTAAGAAGAAGAAATTTCAGGAGCAAAGTGTTTGACATGATAAGAATTTGCATCTCTAGGAATACAGGATTTTATCTGAATAAAATATTATTAGCTATTTGAATCAG